TACAAGTATATCAAAAGTATATCAGACACGGCGGGATATCTTTCTTGTTTTTTTTTTTTCAGAAAGCCCTAGTGATAGACAACTCGAAAAAAGTATGAGGGTGGCTATCCCATAATTTTTAATATGCTGTTAAGAGGACAGACACGTAAAAAACTGATGTCTATTTGTTAAATTATACCTGAAGATTATATGTCACAAAACATAAGCAGCCCTTTAATATATATTGCTATCAGTTATTGGTGAAAGAAAAAACAAAGAAAGAAATTTAAAAAGATATCATTAATAATTAACCATTATTCGACTATTGCAGTGCATCCCATAGTATGCTACAGCTGTAGTGCCAAGTTAAACAAAAACTGCAAAGAACCCGTGGTGTATTGTCCACCTTGGAGATTCGACAGATGTCTGAAAATCAGCGTTGGATCTAACATTGGCAAAAGCTGCGCCAATCAAAGTGCATGCTTCTCGTTGTGCATGGGACGCTTGAACTGTAAGATTGACTGCTGTACAGAAGACTATTGTAATGCAGGCTCTTCAACAAAGCCTTTCTTATTTTTACCCTGGACAATAGCATTATCTGTAAAATGGATGACATAACTACCGTTGTTTTTGTTGTTGTTGTTGTTGTTTTTTTTTTCTTCTTCTTCTTTTTTTTTAATCAAAAACAGCAAAGAAACCGAAACATTTTGGCAGTTTCGAATTTGTCTGTAGTTTAGTGTTAGCCTCGAATTTGTGTTAAATATTCACGTGTTCGAGAGAAATTTTTTGGATTTCCAAAAAGTTTGCATACCAGTCTTGAAATTTTCTCCCAAATATAATTGCCGTTCGTGTAGGCATGAAACCTGCATTCATATTTTGCAAACTTACCTTATTTGAAAGTGAAGATAGACTTCTGTTGGGTGATTTTCCAGCCATTTAAAGCTTTAAAATGTCGAAAATATGAATCAAAACCTGCAGTTATTATAGCGAAGAAACACTTGAAATTCAGTGTTATCCACCAAATAAAACTGTTTTTCATGGTGTGCCCATCAACTCTATATTCATATTTGGTTAGCTTACCTTATTTAAAAGTGAACATAGACTTCTGTTTGGTGATTTTCCAGCCATTTCAAGCTTTAAAATGTTGAAAATATGAATCAAAACTTGCAGATATTACAGCGAAGAAACACTTGAAATTGTCCACCATCTTGAATTTGGCTTGTAGACCTGGCCTCTGACAAAGGAAGCCCAAACAACCACAGGGTTCCCACGTGAACGACAATATAGGTTTGACTTCATTGTTGAAGTTGTACATTATTTACTCCACCGTTGAAGTTTGTAAAAATTCTATTTTGCTAATTCATAATTGTATTAAAGTTAACAAACATGCAAGCCGATAATCGATAGACTGCAATCTTGGGCAAAACCTGTAGAGAAAATTACTAATTAAAAAATCAACATTTTTTGGCTTTTGTCATGAAGAATAATGTACCCCCCCCCCCCCCCCCAAAAAAATGTTGCTCGGAAAACAAAGGCGAATGACTCCTTTGCTGGGGGGGGGGTGGGAGGGTTTATTGATCAAAATATACAAAAGGCGCAGGGACGGTCGAAGTTCTTTCATTAGTCTCTACCCTTTTGGCCAAGATCGTGGCTTATCAACAACTTATTGATTCTACATGTAGTGAGCAGTTGATTGGTGAAATATTTTTATATGATTTCAATAATGAAGATCTTGGAGATATCAAGGTTTATGCTTTCAATATGTTAATGAGTGTGATGTCATAGGAGATATCATTAGATATATTAGATATATTTTTWAAGCTTTTCTGTCAGCAAGATATCCAGTATAAAACATCAAAGGCTATTGCAATTTTATTTTTGATAGTAATCAGTGTTTCCATTTACGAATGATGAAAAATAAACTCAAATGCCACCTATGACGTCACACTTTAATGAAATAAACAATAAAAATAACAAACCACTAAAAGCAAGGAAAAACATGACATTTTAAATGACATTCATTTTCTTAGCCACATAATAAAGGAATTTTACATTAGCTACAACACCAACTGCAAAATTTTAATAAAGTTAATAAAGGGTTAAATGTTTTAAACAGCATGTGACGGATGTTGAAATGGGAAATCTTTTAACCAAGCTAAAAATCTACAACGCAGATCGCTAGAACAACATCTAAAGGCAACCCATAACTAGCTACACAGATCAGTAAAACTGCAACAAACCAAAGGTAATCCATAAACAGTTACAGAAATGAGTAGCACAGCATCCTACCACAGGTAGCCCAATATTAGTTACACAGATCAGTAGAACAGCATCGCACATTGCAATCACTCCTCCCCATGCACGCATACTGACAAGCTATCTCGCTGCTGCAGCTGTTTTGAAGAGTGTTGGCGACCTTCAACGTCATGCATCTGTCAAAATATAAATGGCATTTTGCTTCTCCTCCTTGGCAGTCTTTCTCGCCGTTGGTCCTGGTGCAGTGGTGACAACGCAAGGGATAGACTGATGATGATAAAACAGAGAAAAACATCAGTTATAAGGAGGAAATACCTGACTAACTGATGAAATGACACATATCAAACATTGAGTGTCGAATTTCCCCGTATCGCTCTCTAAGAAAAAGGACTAGGGAAGAGCTTAGCAGCCAGGTCAAGGGGCGTCCCCGTATCCTTCCCATTGACGAGAACCTCTGTCTCTTTCCTCCAAAACTTCCTCGATTTTCACAAGTTTTTCTTTTTTACTTGTCTTTTTTTCTTTTCTTCCTGCGGCGAAGAACGAGGACTCTTGCATAATCCATTATTTGAGACCAGGATTTCTTGGACTTCCAGTATAAGAGCGCATGCGTTCAAAGATTTGCCAAAAATTCAAAAAAATATGTTCACGATTTATAATTCTTATTTTGATCGGAAGTAAACATACAATTCTGTTAAAGCATGATTTTCATTTATGGTATTTAACTTCCGAAAAAATGCGCATGCGCCAAAAAATGGATTATGCCAGAGCCCTCGTTCTTCACCGCAGGCAAGAATAAACGCAGGCTCTGGGTACGARATTGATCTTCTTTGTTTTAAATTTTTGTCCCACATTTAAACTACACACAATAGGACGTTTGCACGATGGCGYCATTGACCTCTACTACCAGACTCCCTTGCACGCTTTCTTTTGTTCAGTTAATTAGCACCATGTCTTACTATTCTCATGAGGGACTACAAATTTAAATAAAAAAGAAAATTCGCAAAGCATCTTGGTAGTGGGAGTCAAATTATGACGCCATCATGCACGTCCTATTGTTTTCTTGGTTTTATTTGTTTTAAATAGTACGACAAGTTAAAATTATTTTCACAGGACAGTAAACTATTGCATGAAACAATTTAAACTCTTAAATTTAAAATCAAWTTTTTTTCGCGATCAGAGTTTTAAATTATAGTCTATAGCTCTAATTGGTTGAGCTTGTGGGACATAGCAACGGTAACTAAGGGACGTCGATACCATGAATTATATTTAGCCTTGGATTATCCGTAAATAAACAAAGAAAGTATCTAGTGGAGGTCGCAGTTGAATAAAAATTAGAACAGAACTTGTATTTTTTGTGCGTAGACATAGCGTTATTGTTATTGCATATATATTACCTAGATACGACAAAGAAATTTTTTTTTTAATAATATGAATTAGCTTTACAAACAAGATCTCAAAAGAATATACAGTATATTTAGAATACGTTATGAAAATAATTAAGAAGAAACAAAGATGAGAATATGTGGAAGAAACATATAGATCAAAAGAAACTAATTTAGACCCGATTGCAAGTCTTGTCAGTATGACAAGAGTCTCATTTACAGACGAGCCAAATGCACTAAACCGAAATCATGACGACCATTTTGACTGAATAACTATCGTTCTGCACTGACTAGCGACTGGCTAGCCTTTCATGCGTGTGAAAACGCTATTTTATACCCGTGTGAACGCTATACTTCTCAGTCCCGGGCCCAGTTGTAAGAATGGTGAATAGCGCTATATATCCAACGGAGAATTTACTATGAATAAGTCGAAGCTGTTATCCAATGAATTTATTCCTTGAATATTAAGGATTATCCTTCGTATAGCGCTATCCGGGTCCACAACAATTGATTCGGTAAATACAAACGAAAAAMTATATTAAGACCACATAGAAAGGCGTCAAACAAATTACTCAAATTTAAAAGACAACATGCGGTGTTATAGGAGCTGAGCCTTGTGTGATTAATTATTTTTTTCAGGTTCTATTCAGTCATATAACGTTTAAATTAAATTCGAGGCCAGTTCGAAGAGTAGTTAGGAAAATGAAATAAAGCTGAGAGGATAAAATAATTAAGATCAACGAAAGACTCCCTTGAAAAAGAGGAAAAAATATCTCCTTGAAATTAAGCACTATATAGACTTATCAATGAAAAACAGTTTGAATACATTTGAAGTTGATTTAGGAAAATATATATATGTGATAAAGAAAAGCTTAAAATAAATTGCGATATGAATACCACAAAAATACCATAGGATTCTTTCAATTCTAGTCACATTTCAAAAATAGTTTAATTTTTTGATTGGGCTAATAGCTGTCTTAAAGATGCTTGATCCCTGAAAGCTTTTGATCGTTCCGAGGGTTGAGAAAAAACCTGCATCGAGTTGGTGCCACAGTGCTTTGTCGGACTGTTTAAGAGGACATATTTCCAAGATGGCGTCCATTCCGTCCTGTAAAACTCTTCCCAATTTCTCCTTCAACATCAGCACTGGTCATAACCAATTGACCCGTAAGAGAATCTTGACATAAAACTTTCAATATCTATYACTTTATTAATATTATTAATATTATCTATTTGTCTCAAACGACCCAGCAAATCCAGGATTTGAAATGTACTATTTGGTGACGGTGGTTTTGAGCTAATTTATTGAAGGCGGGTTATAGCGGCGATTCTCAACACCGCACAATAACCGCAAGAAGAAAACAAATGAAAATAAAAGGTCAAGCGTATCCGACAGTGTTTCAGTTGAAAAGCTACCGGAAATAACAAAAGTGATTATATCGCTTCACCGAACACAGTGGCTTTATCTGAAACAAAAACAACGTTAAAATGTAAATTATTTTTACCGCAAAGCCACAATAAAAAATTGCTAAACACCACAACACCACAGCACTAAAAACCTCAATGTCCCCTCATCGTTGTCTTGTGATCTATAATATTTTCGCTAAAGAAAATATAAAGTCGGTGCTAAAACTTAGTTATTTGAAATCATTGAAATAGAATCTATTCAGATGGCATACGCATCAGTTATAGATCTGAATTTACAAGGCTCAAAATTGTTCCAGACTTTTAGTAGGACCGGAATTGACTACGATTGTTTTAGCGTTTGATGTTTTAGTATATCAGACATAAAGACGAGGGTTGAAAGAAAGACTAGCTTCGCATCAATGCTCGCATGCCGCAAATATATTGTAAGTATATACCATTCTGCATCTCATTTGATATCTTGTCTCATTAGGTATATGTATAAATGTATACTACAACCTTTTTGCAATCAAGTGTATATATATATATATATTCGGAAGGCTGCTCGCTTAACAAAATGAACGAACTCATTTCTTCGTGTAGACATAGAAACAATTGAAAGCGCTGTTGCGTAAAAACAGAACTTGCATAATATATGTAAATAGCTATATAAAGTGAATGTTTTGTAAAATTCAAGCATTAAAAGCTCCTGACGAGTGAGTCTGACTCACGAAACAGTTCTGTAGAGAACGAATTATGGTCATGGAATTTCTTCCACTTTACACATGCACACACACACACACACACACACACAC